TTGTGAATGTGGTCTCTCTTACATAGGTCAAACAAAAAGATCCATAAAAACCCGCGTGAAACAACATATAGCTGACGTGAAGCGTCGGTGCTCCGGGAAGTCTGTAGTCTGTGAACATGTTCAAGATCGTCCCCACCATTACATCAGATTTGATAAACCACAAATCCTCGCAAAAGAACACCGATTCCCACCAAGGATGATACGCGAGGCTATTGAAATTAAAAAACATCCTAATTTCAATAGAGAAGATGGTTGGGTGCTGCCATTTGCTTGGGATCCTATAAGTAACAAAATTAAACCCAAACCCAAGTATACCACTGTAAGACTTCAAGATACTGTAAGTTCGTTTTACGTAAATCGGACCAAAAAATAATATTCAAAAACTGAAGGTAGCCGGGCTAACAATGACATTGGGACGTCAAACATCTCAGTCCCCCCCGTGACCATGGGTGCTGTAAAGCACCCGAAACGTCGGGAATTAAAAATAAGTAAAAGTAATTAATTAAACGTGATAGAATCCGTAAATTTAGTTTTATTCAATGTGTAGTGTTCGCGTAAATTTAAGAAATCATTATTTTCTCATTCTTTTCCTTCCTCGTCCTCATTTTGTCGAGAATTTAGTGACTGTTGTACATTCGGATTATAATTTGTGTTAGATCAGTTCGGTGCGTTTAATGATTGTTGTATGTCTGTTATGCCTAAAGATTGTTGCATGGTTTGCATGTGTTGTTCTTGGATATTTAGTGAACGTTGTATATTCTGTGTTTGTGATGTTTATCGTATCCGTTGTGCTTGGTGACTGCTGCGTGTTTCATGACTGTTGGTTGATCTGTATATGTAGATGGTTCGATTGATTATGTACAAATACGGTATCCCCTAGCACTTTAGTGAGTATAGTTGATGTGTAAATAGCTGCTTGTTTTTGAAGGATACTAATGTTAATATGGCTATCTAATTTATCTATGTACTTCCTAATACTTTTAGCTACCACTCCCGTTGCTCCTATTACTATGGGAATGACAGTTGCTTGTGTATTCCACAAACGACTGACTTCAGTTTTTAGCAGGTGGTATTTGCTTAATTTTTCAATTTTCTTAGGTCCTATATTGTAGTCTGATGGTACAGTTATATTTGTTAAGAATGTTTTATTATGTTTTATCAACATATATAAAATTAGGCCTATTATGTGTTACAGTAATATCAGTTTGGACGGGCATTTTCCACATGATTTTAGCAAACTAATTTTCCTTAATTTGTGGTCGGATGAGGGTTTCTTACCACCAGAGGTTAGAAACTTCTATTTTGTTCTTTTTAGCCAGACACCAATAGACTTACTGGACAAGGTTATCATGTCGCTTTATGTAATATGTTTCTACTAGTTTGTCACATCCGGATATTATGTTTTGTGTGGTTTCATCTTTACAGGAACACAGACGACATTTTCCATCTACTGGCTCATTTAATATGTCACGTTGATGTTGCCGCGAATTAATGGCCTGGTCTTGTATTGCAAATATTGATGACTCTGTACTTGGAGATACCTGTTGCCTTTTAAGCCATTGATATGAAAGTTCTATGTCTATATTGGCCTGATCTAAAACTTTTTTAGGAAATCCATGTAAGGACTTTTTTCGCCACAGTTCATTCTGTCTTTTAACTGTTGCCATCTCAATCTCTTTATCTGTATATGTATTTTCTTGTGTTAAGTGTAGTTCTCTTTCTATCTCTTGTGCTTCTTTTATTATTGAATATTTATCTCTATGTCGTGTTGCATTATTATTTTAATGAGATAATCGCTTTCTGTTTTCAGATATTGTTTATATTTTACTATCTGTGCTTTATACATGTACTCTATATTTATCAGACCTCTTCCTCCTTGTGTTACAGGTAAGTATAGCCTTTCTATTTCTATTGCTCTTTGCTGATGTACCTTTTTAATTGCTTGTTTGTTTGTTGTAAATTCCTTGTTTTTATATCTATTTTCTTAAGATCGTTATTTTTATAATTTATTATGCCAAATGAGTAAAGTAAAACCGGGATTGCGTATGTATTAATACCTTTTATCAAATATCGTGAGTTAAGGTGGGTGTTCAGTAGTTTCTTGATTCTTTTAAAATTTTCTTTAGTTATTTGATCTCTTATGATGCTGTGTTCTATCTTTCCTGATTCATGTATTCCTAAATATTTATATTTATCTCCTATTGCAAGTTGCTCAAAAGTTTCCCCGCTTAAAAGAATATGACCTTCTCCTATTGCATTGCTTCTATACCCAGAACTCAGGTGTATTGTTTTGAATTTGTCTAGTCCAAATCGCATTCCTATGTCGCTTGTAAATACTTCCACACTATCCAACAATATTTTCAAATTACTCTTATTGTTTGCGTAAACTTTAAGGTCATCCATGTATGACCGATGATAGGTGATTGACCCAGAAACTGTCTTTGAGTTTATATCCTTTCAGTTTGTATTTATTAAGTATACAGGAAAGTGGGTTAATTGCTAAGCAGCATAACAATGGGGAGAGGGAGTCACCCTGGAAAATTCCACGCCTAACATAAATCGGTTCCGTGGTAACTGAATCATGTGATCCACGGGCTGTCATGATCACCCTCCATAGTGGCATAGCCAACTGAAGGAATCTTTTAATTATTAGTGGACATTTATAGACATCAAGCACTTTAAGAAGCCATTCGTGAGATACAGTGTCGAAGGCTTTTTGATAGTCAATCCATGCCATACTCAGTTTTTTTGGGCTTAATGTGCATCCTCCAATATGGCCTTATTAACCATTAGATGGTCTTTACATCCCCTGGCATCATGGCGACATCCCCTTTGCTCTACGGCCATTATGTTATTCTTATCGCAATGGCTATACAATACGTTGGCCAATATGGAAGTAAGTAATTTGTACATACTAGGTAAACATGCTATTGGTCTCCAGTTCTTTGGGTTTTCGGTGTTTTCATTTTTGGGTATTAATATAACTTGTCCGGTAACGACCATTCTTCCATTATTTCTTTACCTGAAACTATCTTAGTGAATAATAAAGCTATGTATTTATAAACACTGGTTAGGTATTTTAAATAATAATTTTGTATTTTATCTATTCCAGGTGATTTCCAATATAACAGTTTTCTGATAGCAAATTTTACTTGGTCTTCTGTTATCTCTTGTGTATCTTCTCTGTGCATTTCACTTGACAGCATTTCTACTTCTTTTATCCAATTAGCATCAAAATTGTACTGCGTTTGGTTTGATTAAATTGAGTTCCAAAATACTTGCACTTCTTCTTTACTCGGTATTTTGATGTCTTTGTTGTTACTACATCCTAAACTTCTGTAGAGTCTATGCTCGTTTTCATTAAATAATCTATTCTGAGCTTTTCTAGTGTTAATGTCTTCGTATCTCTTTATTCTACCTGCTAAAGCTTTAACTTTTTGCCTAATAGTTTCTGTTATATTATTGTGATCATAATCATTCCGAATGCTGTATTTGGTAAATAATTTTTCTTTTATTTTTATCATCCTGCGCTTGTTGATTCCCTTTTCAATTTCTATTAATTGTCCTAGTTCCTTCCTAAATGTATCTATTTTAGTTTGTATTCTTTTTTTCCATGGTGCATCACATTTTGGTTTTATAATATTATTAGTGATATAAGGTTTTTGATTGTTGTTTAATATAAGAGTTTTAGCCGCGGTGTATATTATATTATTTATCTCGCGCAAACTATTATTAGTAATTAAAAGATTAGGTAAATAATTATTTAATGTGTGTAGATTTTCTTAGAAACGCCTATTGATTTTAGCTTTAGGTAGAAATATCTCGATCTTCAAGTCTGGTTTCATTACTTTCCGCTAATATTTGAAGGAAGTACAAGATTAATGGATCTTGATCATCATTTACCACTATATTACTTGTCATCTGATCTATTGTTTCAACTTGTTCAATGGTATGTTGTGTATGTTGTAAATTTTGTTCCGTAATGTGTGTGAGTGTAGGTTGTGTATCTTGTACTCCAATGTCGTTTGAATTTGAGTTATCTACAGGTGTGATACCTTCTGCTTCTTTTTGTATTCTGTTTAGTAATTCTTGTGATAGTACATTTTGCTTAATGATCCTTCGTGCTTGATTTGATAAAGTGTTTCCGTTAAACTTATGAATTTTAGGGTTATTCGGGTTTCTTTCTGTGAAAAATTTCTGTAACCTGTCTATGTATCCTGGTCCAATTGATCTTGCTTTAAAGTAACAAAACATTAATTCTTGAAGTTCTTCTGTTGACCACTTTCTTCTTCTATCATCATGTTCTGTATTATATTATTTGTGGTCATTGAAGATGAGCCGGCAGAGCTTGTAGGTAAATCCGTACTCTGCAAAGCATCACCCATACCCATCCCTTCCCTTTGATCGGCTGTAATATTTTCGGATTCCCCGACTCTCGCCCGCCTGCTCAGCAGAGAGCCGCTGACGGCCCGTACGCTGTCACGTCCAGCGTCAGCTCCAGACGTGCGCCGACGCTCACCCTCGGGTAGCGGCCCTATAATAGTACTACGTAATTGTCTCCCCATCATTGAAGGTATCTAGAGCTCCGTTGGTCATTGGTTAAGTTAACTAAAAGTCCAATGTCCGGCCCTCACGTGGCATAGATGGTCATGCGCGGACGTGGAGTTAGAATTGCAGGGGCCGGACATATATATATAAATTATATGCTATAGTCAAAGGTCGATATTCAGTCTCTTCCCCGAATGACTGGTTTACCCTTGGTTTGTCCAAGGCCTTTCGACAACAACGAAATTAATTCCAATTTCGGCATTTGACTGAATTATTTTAGTCATTTTTAGTCAAGTAATATTTGTGAATAAAGATACATAGACGTGTGCGCGCGCGCTTGGCGTACGGCTCTTGTTTCGTAGATTCACTTAAGTTAAATAAGTAATCGTGCATAAATATCTAAAAGACGGTGTCTTGCCTCGCATAAGATAAATTTCGCATAAGCATTAATTATGGTGAAGTGTAAGAAATGCAATAAGGCCATGTCGAACGCGAAACAGGAGACTAGTAAATGTAAAAGTTCATGTAAAGCGGTCTTCCATAAAGAATGCGTTACGAGAGCTACCTTCAAAAATGAAAAATGTGAAGATTGTGTTTCCCTGCCAGGATCCCATACCGGTTTGCCTACTGTTGATGAACCGGAGATTGGTGTACAAAATGGAAAAGAAACTGAGTGAGCTGGCCGATCTGGTTGATTTTGTATCAGAAAAGTATGATAACCTCGTGGATTGGAAGTCGCTAAAAACGCTTGACAAATAACGAAATTTTAGGGTACAAATAACGACAACCGTATTTATATAAATGTGAATCTCGCTAGATATAAAAGGAACCTTCTCTAGGTTACAAAACCAGCTTAAGAAAATCTATAAGTACATTTTGGTACAGGATGGAAAAATACTCGTAAGAACGAGTGATGAAGAAGAAAATAATGTCAATTAGAAGTGAATGTGATATTGAAAAATATATAGAAAGCATTTTAAATACGACAACTAGCTAGATGTTGTTGTTGGTCTCACTAGCCTCACGCACTCATAGTGCGAAGTAGAGCTCAATAACATCAAGTAAAAGGTGATCGTTTCGATGTAATTATCACACTGGAATGTCAATTTATTAGGTTTAAAACAGCAAATGCCTGGGTTCAGAGTATATTTAACAATAACAAATATTCACACATATTACACATAAATATTAGGTCAATAAGAAAAAACTTTAATGAATTACAATTTTTTGTAAAAAATTACTCTGAATAATTAGGACTACTAGTGCTGACACAGGTTAAAATTAAGAAGAATGAGCTATCACTATACCATATAGAGGGCACAATCTATTTGCAAACACGTGGGAAACAACAAGAGGAGGGGGTGTTCTTATTTATGCTAAGAAATTTCTTAATTTAAATTCACGGAAAAGCCTGACTAGTTCACTGAAAAGACTTTATGGTAAACCCACTGTTGATCACTCACCTCTTAATATAATTGCAGTCTACAGACCACCGGAAATGAATAGGTTGTTATTCGTTGATGAAATTGAGTAGATAATTAAGAAGATTTCAGCGAGCGACGAAATTATCATGTTAGGTGACGTCAACTTAAACCTGTTAGGAGTGAGTAAAAGTCAGCTGCTGTCAAAATGTAAGGACTGCCTGTGTGGACTAGGCCTACATTGCGTAATACCGGTTACACAGGTGACGCGAGAGGCTATCGTAGCGGGTGCAAGAGAATGGTCGTGTATCGATCAAGTTTGGGTCCGAGAATGACAACTGCGAGACTGCTATTCTTTCGTTATTGAGTGCTTCATGTCGGATCATCACGTGGTGGGAATCTCGGTACCGTTACACTGCACTAACAATACGGACTCGGACACTCGATATGTGATTAAGAATAAGTCAGTAGCTAAGCAGATCACTGATTACGATTGGTCTCAACTGTTGTTTATTGATTGTCCGTGTATGTTTGTAATGCCAAAGATTAAAAAATGAGATACAATACTATAGACAGGCAGAGATTTAAATAAAATAATGATGCGTAGGGATAGGTTATTTGGGGATTGGAAACATAATTGATAGAATCAGGCGTTACTTTGCGGAAGTCTATTATAATAAAGATATTAATAGTTACTTTGCAACCATCCGCTCAATTAAATAAAATGATGTGTCTCACCTAGTGTGAAGAGCACCAACACCACTATTCTAGGAAAGACACACCATCGACGATAATACGACACGTGTTTCAGGTGATGTTGACTCTACGGCGGCTGACCGCTAAGTCTTAGTGGTGTTGGTGCTCTTCAAACTAGGTGAGACACATCATTTTATTTAATTGAGCGGATGGTTGCAAAGTAACTATTAATATCTTTATTGGAAACATACACCAAACAATAACAATACTAAAAGACTACAATACACACGATTTAGAAATAAGGTAAACAAATTAATATTTAAAGTAAGAAATAGGTTGCGGCAGGAAGAAATCAAGTAGTATAATGAAGACCCAAGAAAAATCTGGGACAAAATTAATAACTGGACAGATAGGAAAAAATCAAATATAGATGATATTGCTAAAGTATAATTTGAGGATAAAGACCAATTTGTATAATATATGTAGTCAATTTGCAGACTCATTTCCTAATGAAATTATTGCTAATATATATAATTGTAGTATTAAATTATTTGACAGAAGTAAATATGATAAAGAAAGTGATGTAACGTTTCGCTTTAAACCAGCGACACAGTGAGCCTTATAGCTCTAGAAATATACAAGAGATCAGCCAGTAACACAGTGTGCCTTATAGCTCTAGGAATATACAAGAGATCAGCCAGTGACACAGTATGCCTTATAGCTCTAGGAATATACAAGAGATCAGCCAGTAACACAGTGTGCCTTATAGCTCTAGGAATATACAAGAGATCAGCCAGTGACACAGTGTGCCTTATAGCTCTAGGAATATACAAGAGATCAGCCAGTGACACAGTGTGCCTTATAGCTCTAGGAATATACAAGAGATCAGCCAGTAACACAGTGTGCCTTATAGCTCTAGGATTATACAAGAGATCAGCCCGTGACACAGTGTGCCTTATAGCTCTAGGAATATACAAGATATCAGCCAGTGACACAGTGTGCCTTATAGCTCTAGGAATATACAAGAGATCAGCCCGTGACACAGTGTGCCTTGTAGCTCTAGGAATAAACAAGAGATCAGCCAGTGACACAGTGTGCCTTATAGCTCTAGGAATATACAAGAGATCAGCCAGTGACACAGTGTGCCTTATAGCTCTAGGAATATACAAGAGATCAGCCAGTGACACAGTGTGCCTTATAGCTCTAGGAATATACAAGAGATCAGCCAGTGACACAGTGTGCCTTATAGCTCTAGGAATATACGAGAGATCAGCCAGTAACACAGTGTGCCTTATAGCTCTAGGAATATACAAGAGATCAGCCAGTGACACAGTGTGCCTTATAGCTCTAGGAATATACGAGAGATCAGCCAGTAACACAGTGTGCCTTATAGCTCTAGGAATATACAAGAGATCAGCCAGTGACACAGTGTGCCTTATAGCTCTAGGAATATACGAGAGATCAGCCAGTAACACAGTGTGCCTTATAGCTCTAGGAATATACAAGAGATCAGCCAGTGACACAGTGTGCCTTATAGCTCTAGGACTATACAAGAGATCAGCCAGTAACACAGTGTGCCTTATAGCTCTAGGAATATACAAGAGATCAGCCAGTAACACAGTGTGCCTTATAGCTCTAGGAATATACAAGAGACCAGCCAGTGACACAGTGTGCCTTATAGCTCTAGGAATATACAAGAGATCAGCCAGTGACACAGTGTGCCTTATAGCTCTAGGAATATACAAGAGATCAGCCAGTGACACAGTGTGCCTTATAGATCAAGGATTATACAAGAGATCAGCCCGTGACACAGTGTGCCTTATAGCTCTAGGAATATACAAGAGATCAGCCAGTGACACAGTGTGCCTTATAGCTCTAGGAATATACAAGAGATCAGCCAGTGACACAGTGTGCCTTATAGCTCTAGAAATATACAAGAGATCAGCCAGTGACACAGTGTGCCTTATAGCTCTAGGAATATACAAGAGATCAGCCAGTAACACAGTGTGCCTTATAGCTCTAGGAATATACAAGAGATCAGCCAGTAACACAGTGTGCATTATAGCTCTAGGAATATACAAGAGATCAGCCAGTAACACAGTGTGCCTTATAGCTCTAGGAATATACAAGAGATCAGCCAGTAACACAGTGTGCCTTATAGCTTTAGGAATATACAAGAGATCAGCCAGTAATACAGTGTGCCTTATAGCTCTAGGAATATACAAGAGCTCAGCCAGTAACACAGTGTGCCTTATAGCTCTAGGAATATACAAGAGATCAGCCAGTAACACAGTGTGCCTTATAGCTCTAGGAATATACAAGAGATCAGCCAGTGACACAGTGTACCTTATAGCTCTAGGAATATACAAGAGATCAGCCAGTAACACAGTGTGCCTTATATCTCTAGGAATATACAAGAGATCAGCCAGTGACACAGAGTGCCTTATAGCTCTAGGAATATACAAGAGATCAGCCAGTAACACAGTGTGCCTTATACCTCTAGGAATATACAAGAGATCAGCCAGTGACACAGTGTGCCTTATAGCTCTAGGAATATACAAGAGATCAGCCAGTAACACAGTGTGCCTTATAGCTCTAGGAATATACAAGAGATCAGCCAGTAACACAGTGTGCCTTATAGCTCTAGTAATATACAAGAGATCGGCCAGTAACACAGTGTGCCTTATAGCTCTAGGAATATACAAGAGATCAGCCAGTGACACAGTGTGCCTTATAGCTCTAGGAATATACAAGAGATCAGCAAGTAACACAGTGTGCCTTATAGCTCTAGGAATATACAAGAGATCAGCCAGTAACACAGTGTGCCTTATAGCTCTAGGAATATACAAGAGCTCAGGACTGTGCTGCAGGCTGACTTCAATAATATTACGCGGTGGGCTCCTGAGAATGGTATGATACTTAACCTTTATAAGACAAAAGTGATATATCTAGTACAGATGCATCACTTTCGCACCGAACAACTTAGTGACAAAAAATGTCAAGAGCGTGGATATAGGTACTGTGTGTCACACGTATAAGTGTATGCACGTTATAAATTTAATTGTGTTTTGTATTAAAAGCTAGATTACGTTAGTAAATTTAAGTATCTAGGTTTGTGGGTTTGTGGGCCCATAATATGAATTTGAAAACACAGGTTGACACTGTATGTACAAAGCTTACGCCAGTGTTAAGCAAGTTTTATAATATCCTGAAGGCGCCGTTAAATAGGAAATCGTTGCGTGTCATTTATTTTGCTCTCGCTGAGTCATTACTAACCTATGGATTAAATATGTATGAGTATGGCCGTACATTTAAAACCTATCTTAACAGTATAAAATCGTTGCAAATTCGTTTTATGAAATACCTTGTTAAACCATAAACAAAACTTACTTGTAAAGATAATGATGAAAAACTTTTTGTTGTACGTAAGGTGCTTCCTGTACATGAAATGGTCGTACACTCGCGCGACTACTAGTAAAAAATTGCTATGGGATAAAACCAAAAAGTAATTGACTCCTACATTTTTTAATGATCTCGATTGGCTGAGAGATGATAATACTATAATAAGTAAACAAGCATTAAAAATTAATTAAAAACTGTTTTCCCTAATGAAGTTGTTGCAAGATGTGAAAATACCCACTAATTTGTTGTTGTTTTAATTGGTTAATTAATAAATAATATAACTATTGACAAACCAGCTAACGAGTTAAACACTGTTATGATGTACCCATAACCACTTAACTAGTGACAATTAGTCAGAAGTTTTGCGCACCCGAACTGAGGTGCGACGGCTAAATGTTAGAAATTCTAAATAAAAGTTTAATACCTGTTTTAAAATTTAAAACTTTCTTTATATACACTGTTTTATTTTCATTAGATTATACTTACGTATTTGAACCACATGTATTCAGATGAGCGCTAATCCCGCCAACAAACTGTTGCGCAGTTTGGTGGGTCTGAAAAATATACTAAAGGTTTGGTCCAGAATAAATTATTTATTAATTATATTACAGAAATATATTACAGAACGAATTGAGTCGTAGTGGAGAGCAGTAAAAACTTTTTTAAGATATCAATATTATAACAATTCACACAACATTGTTTCAATTACGGTATCATAGCAGAGTTTAGGGCAACCTGACTATAAAAATAAGATAGTTCGAATCTGTTCTAAAACCAAATCAGCACGCCCCGACTCCACGTAGTCTTGTCTGCCCTACTATTTTTTATTGTCCTAATATTATTAACTTTGGCCTCTCAGCATATCTAGGAACATTTGAAGTTTGTTCACAAAAATAAAGATAGTTGTAGTAAAAAAGTGACATACGCTCTGTAAACACTAGGAACAAACACAAGCTGGTGCACAAGTAATTCATTCTTGGGGCAATGTATACGCTATTACAACTAAGCCCTAGAAAATATACAAGGTCTCTCTATTACCAAGTTTAAATATTTAATTGAACAAAAACTACAAAAAGGGTTATTATGATATAAATGAAAACATGGTTGATAATAACCCCTGGTAATGAGGTGGTCGCTTCCAAGCTGTTTCTAAAATAAATTTTGTAAATATTTTGTGACCCTTGACGTTGTAAAATTTATTTAAAAAAAAAAGTCCCGCTGGGTTTCTTCCTAGGACAGAGGTTTTTTTTCTAACCAGTGGTAACGTAAAATATTGACTTTCAATAACAATTACTTGTAATCTATATTGAATAAAAAAAATGAATTTAAATTGTTGGGTGATCAAGCTCGATATTAACTAGCACAGCCAGATTTTTTCAACCAAGTTAACTAAATAATTGCATAAAGACTGAGAGTTATTGCAATACGTTCACTTTCAATCATTTGTAAATATATTCACCTAAAATAAACCATAGGGTCCTAATTAATATGCATATTTGCATAACGAAAATTATGAAAAATGTTACAACTTACCTACTTAAATCATTTAGTTCATTCAGAACACATTTGATTGTACATATCATCGTATTTTAAATACTAAGCCCCTGGCCACACACTCGTCGAGTAGTATGGGAATTAGCGAGGAAAGGAGGCAGAGACGTATTGTGGCCACAATTCTCGTCATGCCGCACGTCCATAGCCAAGTCATTGTATTCAAGCAACAAAATAAAGACGGCTTCTAATAAAATTAAAATGACATGGAGTATAATGAATAGTAAAACTGGTAAGGTCAACTCACGCAATTCGAACTACCAGTTAAGTTTTAACAATAAATTAACTAAATCATATCAGGACGTTGCAATGGTTTTCGAGAAATATTTTACTGATATTCCTATCCTAACCACTAAGTCACTGAATTCTTCTCCTGCCGTCGCCGAATCATTACTTAAAATGTAATTGCGTGTACAAAGAATTTTACATTACATAAAGTATCATCAAAAGATATTCTAAAATATTTTAAGATTATTGATATTACGAAAACCGCCGATATGTGGGGGATTTACGTTAAAGTTATTGCGTCTATAATAGATGCAATCGCACCTCAACTATCTATTATTTTTAATACTAGTATCAAATCTGGTGTGTTTCCCGATTTAATGAAGCATAGTAAAGTAATAACTTTATTTAAATCTGGCAGTACATTGGACCCCGCTAATTTTAGACCTATTTTTGTACTGCCAACACATAGTTGTGGCCGTAGAAGGAAAAGGGGAGATCTCCCGCCGGGCAAAGTGTGTCATAGTTCGAAAATGTTCTATATATGCTGTTTATGATTCGGAATGTTGATAGCGTGATTTAGGCTTCGGTGTGTTTCACTTGCGGCGCGACGACAGCGTCGCCACATCACCCCCCTTCTCAGATCGGAGGTCGATAGTGCAGTCCGATTGCCGATGTGTCCTTTAATGCCGGTGGGGAATGCATGCTGTGTGCGTAAGGGCAAGTGACACCGGTGCGAATAATATGCCGATGTGTAATGCATGCCGTACTACGCACTGGCAAGTGATGCCGGTGAGAACGATGTGCCGGAGCAAGTGCCAGAAGTCTGCCTTATAAATCTGCGGTAAGTCGAGACGAAGACAAGTTGGACTGGCTTGCAGGAACTGAAGACTGCAGAAGACGATTCTCAATAGTGAATGGTAGGAGTTCTTGAGGATAATATCTAAGGCTTGAAGTTGTAGTTTCCGAAGGTTGTTGGTTCAGATCACGTCGGGGTCACCACTGTGGCCGTAGAAGGAAAAGGGGAGATCTCCCGCCGGGCAAGGTATTATGCCCGGGGAGCGGCCAACGTTCCGTGTCATAGTTCGAAGATGTTCTATATATGCTGTTTATGATTCGGAATGTTGATAGCATGATTTAGGCTTTGGTGTGTTTCGCTTGCGGCGCGACGACAGCGCCGCCACAAAGTAAAATTTTTGAAAAATTATTCCTGACCAAATGTTAAACTTTTTTAATGTAATTTACTTTATAAAAATCGGTTTCACAAGGGGTCGCTTGACAACTGATGCTGTTGTTGAGCTTATTATATATATCTTTAATGCATGGGAGAATTCACATGACGCTTTGAGTATATTCTGTGACCTATCCAAGGCCTTCGATTGTGTTCACCATGAAACATTAATCAGGAAACTTTAACACTACGGTGTAAGAAGTGATGCTCTTTAATTAATTATTTCATATTTAAGTGACAGAACGCAAAAAGTTGTCATTAATAGTATGAGTTCTTCCGGGTCGATTCTACAAATGGGCGTGCCTCAGGGCTCTATTCTTGGCCCCTTTCTGTTTCTTGTATATATTAATGAATTACCTTACATAGTAACCATGATGTAGTATTATTTGCTGATGATACTTCATTAATTTTCAAATTAAAACGACAGTTAGTAAATTACGACGAAGTAAATAATGCTATAGCTAAGTTAGTCAATTGGTTTAATGTTAATAATTTGCATTTAAATGGAACTAAAAATAAATGTATGAAATTCGTAACTCCTAATGTCAAAAATGTTAATACGAATGTAATTTTAAATGGAGAAGAACTGAGTCTTGTTGATACCACCATTTTTCTTGGAATCGCACTAGACGCAAAGCTTCAATGGCTACCCCATATATCAAAACTAGCTAGCAGACTTAGTTCTGCAGCACATGATGTAAAAAAGATTAGAACTCTTACCAGTGTTGAAACAGTTAGAATAGTTTACTTTTACGTGGTAGAGCCATGCTGCAGCTATATTAATTGTATAGTTGTAGCACGAATTGGTCGGCTCAACCGGGGAAGGACCACGTACTCTCAGAATACCAGCGTCAAATAGCAGCTTAATGATGCTGTTTTTCGTATGGTGAGTGTAGAGAACCGGAGACCCTTTTTACTGGAAAAGAGGCATTCCATCTTAGTCTTCAAGGCTGAAAACGCATCTGCATTTTAATTCGCAAACGAGGATAGATGTAGATGTCTATGGGCCACATCAACCACTTACCACCAGGTGGACTGTGTGCTCGCTTGTCACCCTTTTCCTATAAAAAAAAGTTATTTCCATAGCATTATGTCGTATGGTATTTTGCTATAGGGACACGCGACTGACACTGAAATTATATTTATTTTACAGAAGAGGGCCATTAGAGCAATATATAATTTGAAACAAAAAGAGTCACTGAGACAAGTATTTAAGGAAATTAATATATTAACTCTGGCCTCTCAATACATTTATGAAAATGTGATGTACGTACACAAGAATACATAAAAGACGTAGTTTTGCAAAAATAAGTGATATTCATTCTGTAAATACTAGGAACAGACACAAGCTAGTAGCACCAGTTACTCGACTCTCCACCGAGTCAGTAAATCATTCTTGGGGCGATGTATACGCTTTTACAACAAAATCCCAGAAAATATACAAAAGTTGTCATACGTAAAGTTCAAAATTTTTATTAAACTAAGATTGTATAAAAAGGGTTATTAT